AAGCAAAGACTTTCTCGACGTTATATAGATATGGAACAAGATACAAGAGTGAGAAAAAAATATTAATATTTTCTTTTCATGTTCTTAAAGCATTACAAGAATCTTATAGCAAAGGACTCCAAAAAAGATTTGAAAAAGATCAAAAGCCTCTACCAGAGAGAGGACAATTGCTTTGTATCTTCCTCAATATATGGATTATATAAATAGTTTTCTATTGCATATAGAAGAATAAAGAAAAGATCTTCAAGGGCTTGAGAGGTTTTTGAGATCCTCTTCCTTAGCATACCAACTTGGTGCTATCTTTGAAAGATGTGGATACAAGTCTTTGTATGAATTTCTTATTGTCCCTTCTGCTACTCCTGTTGCTGTCGATATATCTGCATCCCATATATTAATCAGTCTTAAGGTTTGTTTTCAACTCTTTACTCGAACAAACAAATGTGCCAGGAAGAAAAAAGAAAAGAAAACCAAACCTTTGAGAGTCTTCTTGTCATCAGAAAGCTGGGTTATTATATAAATAACTACTGCTGCTATTGATATAGGACTCCTCCTGCAACATCCCAAACGAATATCTTTCAGTTCTGATATGTCTACCTTAGTCCTGAATATAGGGGGAGAAATAATTGAAATGTACCTTATATCAAATTCCTCAGATTTTTGCACAGCTTCTTGAGCAGCTTTAACAGCATGGTTAGACATTCCGAGGTTAGAGCAGAACCTTCTCTGCAATATTAGCAAGTAGAGAGATATGAAACCACAAATCCAGTGCAGCCAACAAAAACAAGAGTGCCATATTTGAATTAACGCACACCCTAGATTCTAGTATCAGCAAATACAGAGTCATAGAAACTCACCATGAAATCACCAGCGTGAATAGTGCCTAGTTCCACAGACTGACCAGTCTCCAGTCCCAGTGTTTTAACAATGTAGTCTTTAGCTCGGCCAATTTCCTTCTTTGTCGCCCCATTGGCAATAACGCATATTTCTATACACAAGGTTCAGGAGTTTGATTGACTTATGGCAAAGCTATAGCAAGAGGTAACCAGATTCTCTCAAATGAGAAATCTTTGAAATGTACCCTTAATAGTTCGCGGCTTGTCCTCCTGTCGACAGGCGATGTACAGGCAGGCTGCATAAAGTGCATCCTGATTTCTTCCCCTGCTTGACTTTTGATCCTCCAACCTCTTATATATCTCATTAGCCCGATCCTACACGTAGCAAACGGCCACCAAAGCTGTAAGATGATACGCCGCAATAGTACATATTGACATATACACAGACGAACAAGCTTACCTTGATAGTCGCAACAAGTCCCAACCTGGAAAAAATATCAACAAGTGAGTATTCATTCTCACACGATCACACAGCAAAACATGAATCGAAACAATCTAAACCAACAGCAGCAACAACACCTCTTTATGTACAGACAAACACAACATTAGAACACATAAAAAGTGCAAGGGAGGACAAAACTCTGAATAAACAATAAAAAGGAACCTCCTTTGGTTCTGCAATTGACAATGTGGTTTCTCAAATGTATAGTTGTTCTGTAATGAATGTATTAACAATTCTGCAAGAGGTGGATCCGTTAACAAAGTCCTAAAAAACGAAAGTTGCGCGATAAATCAAAGCAATTTCATACAAATCTGATAAATCATGAGACCTAAACGTTTCAATACTTTAAAAAGTCCAAATCCAATCTCAGAACGGGATCTCAAAAGGGGGATAAACGAGAAATATACCTTTCAGACATGGTGGCGATAGTTTTAAACGCTTGAATCAAGCCACGATCGGAGTTGGAGTTACGATTCTGCCACCTGCCGAGAGAAGAAGACAAGAAGTCACCGGAGGAACCATTGGGCTTGGCGATGACAGTGGTTAGAGCACTATCGGCGAGAAGAGGGTTGGTTGGACCACCGACACGATTGGGATCGCTGTTGGAAGACTCATTAGCGAAGGTACGCCACTCAGAGGTCTCATCAATAGAGTGCGATTCCAAAACCAAACCACACTCGGAGCAAAGGGTATCTCCGGCTGAGTGATCGAACACCAACTCCGTCTCCTTCTTACAATCCGTACAATACGCATCCGACATGATTTCCCAATTAAAAATAAACCCTAAATTTAACCCAGAAAAAAAAAAATCAACAACCCTAATAAAAATTGAGATCTTAATCGGTTACAGGTTCCTTCGATATCTTCTTCTCTCGTATTCTTTCTTCGCGAGAAAAACGGAGACAAGAAACAAAACACGAGATGCAACTATGTGGAGAAGGAGAGAATCCGTAGGTTTGTGTCCCTTTTTATAGACAAGGAGATACGAAAAAGTTCCCTGTGGTGAGGTGCATTGGAGATAAAAGATCCAGATCGTTGGGCTTAGTGGGACCCACTAGTTATCAATCGGACGGTTAAGTAATTTTCTCCAGCGATTGACGTTTGTTTTAATTAATTTTAAATATGGGTATGCTTGTCCGTTTTAGGAGGACAGATGAAAAAGAAACAAGTGACTTGTTAGGGAAGTCATACCGGTCGCATGTGTTGGATTTAGTTGGAAGATTTTTTTTTTGTGAGTGTTGTTGTTTGGATGTAGAAGAAACATCAAATAAATAAAATAAAAACTTGGTTGTGTTTGGATATAGGAACAGATCTAAACTGGCATTAAGCCGTATTTGGGTCACACTAATGGACCTCTCTGAACTTGGTTCAATAAGCCAAATTAAAATACAGAAACCAACTTTTGGGTAATTTTATACCTGAAATAGCTAAACATTAGTACGTGAGACCAAAACTGATACAATTCACTTTCAAGGTGACACATATCACTCCCTTTTTGGTACGTGTCTCTCAAAATTTACATATATTAATTATAATATGAATGCTTTGGATTTTTTTATGATATTAGGATTATGTAACTTCACAGTAATTAATAAAACAAAATCTTATATTTATACTTAGGATTAAGTTTTTAAGATTTATAACTATATTAATCTTTTATATTTATGATATTGCTTTGTGAATTAAAAGTGAAATGATAATTCAATCTAATGTTATTACTTATTAAACCTAAACATTAAATATCAAATATTTTATTTTTATTAGTTGTAGATACTTTTGTAACCAAAAAATTACCTTGTATATTATTAATAAAACTGTTATATCTCCCATGATTATTTCCATTTGCCAAAACATTGAAACATTTGGATATAACAAAACAAGGTAACAACCAACAACTATGAGTCTGCGACACGAAGATGAACTTGGTAAAAAAGGTTCTATTAGGTGAAAGAGAAAAGGTATAGTTTGGACTTTGCATACTATTCATGGTGTATATATATTATATGTATGATGCGAGGATGGATACATGGGTATGAATTGTTATCACAGCACAAGAGTTCCAAAAAGCAATGTTTTGGACGTTGGACTTCACTACATTCAGTTTCTGTTGTGGATCAAATGAAATTCGATGATACATGTCGTCTTGTGTGGGTAATTAGCTAGTAGCTAGCAAGTGAAACCCCGATATAATATTATCATGTCCAAGAAAACAATAACAGATGTTGAGAATTTTTCTAAAGAAGCCAAAATCAAGAACAAAGACATGGGAGTATGGGACTATGGAAAACAATAAATCCCTTTCCTTTACATCAAAACTATATATAGAACCCCTGATTTTATCAAACAAAGGTTGCAAATCCTTCGAGAATGGATCCATCCTTAAGATTCACTTAAACCTTGTTTGATTCTATGGGAAAGAAAGTGAAACGGTGGTGATATTGGTTTTTGCTTCCAAAAGCAGATTCGTTTTGGTAGAAGCTTATTTAGGTAGAGATTAAACTTCAGATTCGATCTCTCCATAAATAAAAATTCTTATAATAATTGATTTAAATCGTCATGATATCTATGATGCAAAGTCACATTGTGAATCTTTTCATTTAAGGATCATCCAACTAGATCATTATTTTGTTTTTCTTAATTTTCCATCCATATAGCTTGTTTGATTAGTAGCTCTAGAGACAAGGTTTACCAAACTAATTATTTGGTCTTCAAATAGTTAGGGGCGGCTCAATAATGGTGGCGGTCATGTGCCAACGCGGGAAGAATAACACAGAAATATGTTGTAGTTCTAAAAGTTATACCATTTATACTCTTTTTTTTTCTATATATTATATCATATATCATATATACTTATTTCCTTTACTAAGACCTAAAATTTTCATGATTCCGCCATTGACAGTGTTTATCAAAGTCATTATATTAAAAAAAAAAACACTATCCGACCATTTCTGACAGTAAAGCTTAAAATTAAATTTGGAGCAGAAGAAGAGAAATACCAATCCAACTACTGTATTAATCTACCGTCTGGATTTTCGGAAATCTTGGGAACTTGGAAGGGTATGAGTATTGTGTTGTAGTCTGATATAACATGGATAAGTTAAATATTCATTTTTAGGGTTGCAATTTTTATGGTAAGTGATATAATAGACAAAAGATACACAATTCGTTGCATTTTATTTTATTTTTGTCGCTCACAATTCGTTGCATTTGGCAAAGGAAAGCGAATAATATAGCTCATCATATTATGCGAAACCCGTTGTCAAAGCGGATGTTCTGGGGTCATGCACATGCACCATCAAAAAAGATAACATATGAGCCTTTTTAAAACTTGACGTCGTTTTAAGCCCACGAAACCAAACGCTACGGCGTTTTCTAGTTAACCTCTATTGGACTTTGACCAAACAACACTTGAGTTGACAGCCGTCTCCTCTCTGTTGTTTCCGTGTTCTTACCCGAAAACTCCACTAAACCCCAAAATTATTTTAAAAAGAATCTCATCGATCCCTATCATTTTAATTGTTTCACTCGTTCATTATACTCTGTATGTATATATATATATATATATATATATATATATATATATGCGTATGTATCAAAAAGTCTCTCTCTATAATATATATCGTCAGAGTCACCCATCTTATCTCTCTCTCTACTTCGTCCCCAAGGAAAGTATTTTTTTTCTCTGCTTGTGTAGTTCTTCTCTCTTCTCCTGTGAAAAAACCCTCTGCTTTCGTGCTTGAAAAACAAATCACCAAGAAAGATCGATCAGACTCTTCATCAACATCGAAACCTGCGTTCTAGGTTTTAGAAGATGGTGCAGTACCAGAGACTAATCATCCACCATGGAAGAAAAGAGGAAAGTGGTGGAAGCGGCGGTTGCTGCTACTCCAAGAGAGCTAAACAAAAGTTTCGTTGTCTTCTCTTCCTCTCTTTCCTCTCTTGCTGTTTCGTCATGTCTCCTTATTACCTCTTCGGCTTCTCCACTCTCTCCCTCCTAGGTACTATATCTTTCCCTCTCTCTCACAATCCTTTTTAACTATTTTTGGTTTTTCTATCTGATCTATCACTTATCTCTCTGTTTTTTACTCTTCTCCAGATTCGTTTCGCAGAGAAATCGAAGGTCTGAGTTCTAATGAGCCATTCAATACCCCTCTGTGCTCCGAAATCTCCAATGGTTAGTCTTTTTTTCATATATCTTATCTTAATTCGTTTTTACTCCTCTGTTACTCCTAAAACAGAGTTTTGATCTCTTAATATTGATATTAGAAACAGAGTTTGTGTGTGTAATCTGATAAAAACTGATCGATTCTTATTTTTGTACGCAGGAACCATTTGTTGTGACAGAACCGGTTTGAGATCTGATATATGTGTTATGAAAGGCGATATCCGAACAAACTCTGCTTCTTCCTCAGTCTTCCTCGTCACCGCCTCCACCAAGAACAACACAAAACCGGAAAAGATCAAACCTTACACCAGAAAATGGGAGACTAGTGTGATGGACACAGTTCAAGAACTCAACCTCATCACCAAAGATCCGAAAAAATCTTCAGATAGTGTCTGCGATGTGTACCACGATGTTCCTGCTGTGTTCTTCTCCACTGGTGGATACACCGGAAACGTTTACCACGAGTTTAACGACGGGATCATCCCCTTGTTTATAACTTCGCAGCATTACAACAAAAAAGTTGTGTTTGTGATCGTCGAGTATCATGATTGGTGGGAGATGAAGTATGGAGATATCGTTTCGCAGCTCTCGGATTATCCTCTGGTCGATTTCAGTGGAGATGCGAGAACGCATTGTTTCAAAGAAGCAACGGTTGGATTACGTATTCACGACGAGTTAACTGTGAATTCTTCACTGGTCATTGGCAATCAAACTATAGTTGATTTCAGAAACGTTTTGGATCGGGGCTATACTCATCGTATCCTAAGCTTGATTCAGGAGGAAACAGAGGCCAAAGTGACGGCACTCGATTACAAGAAGAAACCAAAACTGGTGATTCTATCAAGAAACGGATCATCGAGGGCGATACTAAACGAGAAACTTCTGGTGGAGCTGGCAGAAGAAACAGGATTCAATGTGGAGGTCCTCAGACCACAAAAAACAACAGAGATGGCTAAGATATATTGGTCGTTGAACAGGAGCGATGTAATGATCGGTGTACATGGAGCAGCAATGACTCATTTCCTTTTCTTGAAACCAAAAACCGTCTTCATTCAGATAATCCCGTTAGGGACGGATTGGGCGGCAGAGACATACTATGGAGAACCGGCGAAGAAGCTCGGACTGAAGTACATTGGTTACAAGATTGCGCCGAAAGAGAGCTCTTTATATGAAGAATATGGTAAAGATGATCCTGTAATCCGAGATCCGGATAGTCTCAACGATAAAGGATGGGAATATACCAAGAAAATTTATTTACAAGGACAGAACGTGAAGGTTGACTTGCGAAGATTTAGAGAAACGTTAACTCGTTCGTACGATTTCACCATCAGAAGAAGATTTAGAGAGGAAGTTCCTCGTTTACATGTTACATAGAGATATGTTTATTATAGAGAGAAAATCAGAAGAAAGTTTATTGGTTTTTCTATTACTTTTTGTAAAGTTTTGATTGACAATTAAATTCATTCTTTTAAAATAATGAAACAATTTTTTAAAAATAATCAAATCAAATCATTTTTAATATTATAGAAAATTTCGAAGCACAAAAAATAATTAGTGTTTTGTTACCTAGATAAATATAAAATAATGGAAAAACAACGAGTCAATGACTATCAAAATTTTGACTTAAAAACAAGTTTTGACTTTGATGAATTGACCTCTGAGGAGAGGAAACAAAAAAAAACCTTTAATGGGTTTTCGTGTATATTAATATAATACAGTATGAATAGCCCAAGAGGCCAAGAATATAGAGGCCGAGCGGCCCAGTAATAAATACATACAGTAGTCCACTCTGCTCCGTCCGTCTCTCACTTGCTGATCAGGAAAGTTAGACAATTCCTGGATCATTTTTGTTTGTTTGGCTAAGCAACAATTACCTGGATCATAACAAGATGTTTTGATTCTTTTGAATTAGTGAATTTTCAACTACTTCATCAAAGTAAGCAACCCAAATTTTGAGATTAAAATGATAACGTCTATACTTTTCTTTTTCAAATTTGATACGACTAGTTTTTTTCCCGGACATTTTTTTCCTATTCTTAAAACCCAACGTTGTTAAGATCCATAATTGTTACCACCGCAAAAGCATGCAGATATCATATCACTCTGCATTAAGTAAAATTCGTAGATAAATTTAATCAATTCAAACATTTTCTTTATAAACAATGATAGATATACGAGTATTCGTAGATCGACTTAATTCAGATTTTCAAAAGTTTTTTCTATCATTAGAGTTTCTAGTTTCCTTTATCTTCTTCCATATCATATAAAAATGGTTCTAAAACTTATCGAAGCAGAAGTAAAACGACGTGTCGAACTCATAATCAAAGAAAACCACGGGTGTCTTTTTGTTACGTATAGTTAGGTAACCAACATGTTACATCATGAACCAAGAACGATATCTCATGTTTTGGAACCGCCCAAATTTCCTAGTTAATCTCTCTTTACCATTTTAATCTTTTATAATCGGTCCCAACCTTAATACTTGTAGCTTAATATGGTTATGGTGATACGTGCGAATTTATGGGTACTTTGTGGCCTCGCACTTAATCTTTAAACGTATAAACAAATCATGCGTACACACACACACACATATATATATATATATATATATAGATATAGATATACATTTACGAACATATATATTGCGGTTCTCTAATAATCGAACATATATATTACCTTTGTCTCGACTCTCGATATCCTTCTTATTATTTTTATTCAACAACATAGATTCTCCGATATGGCAATATATAATGTAATAGTATAGATATTGAAGTATTGAAGTGATGCTTTTAAATTTCAGTACCATCATCACTTAGTAGTGTTCCATTTTGTAGCCAATCAGGTCCTTAAACATGGATATATGTTGTCTGTTCATTTAGAACGTCAACCCAGCACCTCTTATACCACAACACGAATTTATCATGTTCTTATTAATCTTTCATACGAGGGTTCAAAATTTCATCTGAGACGTTGAAGAAATTAATAACTAATTTCCTCAAGGATACTATAATATATTTGAAATAAGCAGCTATTGATACGAGTGGTAGTTAGGTCTCTCGTCTACACGCACATATATGGTCTCTAGTCTTGATTTCCATCCACATATTAACAAACATAAAACAATCAAAGTATAATCACGCGCGCACTAAACTACATTTAAATTTCCAATCAGGAGAAAAGCAACTTTTTAATCTGCATGGATTATGCATACGGGTAACATTAGTTCCCTTATGCATTTTTGACACATGTGTTTCTTTGTGGTGTTTGTTTACCATAAAGAAAGTGATATTGTTAAAAACAATGTTATCTAGGCAACGATCGTTTTCTTCCATATGTGAACCACGTCACTACATACGACCGGGACAATATGTGTATGGGAAACGATCTATGCGGCGACACACCGTTTAAAGCCAACGAATGCCCAACGACTCCAGTTGCGTTGTCCCTTGTCAAATCCGAATGTCAACATATTATATATCTCACTCTCGGAAACAAAATCAAATTTAAAAGACAGCGTCAATGAAACCTCTCAAATTGCAAAAAATGAAATCAAAATCAACAATTTGTGGTTAGCCGGGTCCATCGTGGACCTACCTTAAAATGGACGGTTGGGATAAGAGGATGGAGGCGAGATTCTGATGATAACGAAAGTAAACTTCTAATGACAAATTTAAAGCAATACTATACAAAGTCGTAGTCGTAGTCGTATCATATAATACTTCAGAAGCAAAAAAACTACATATCTACATACTGTATATACTATTTGTCAACAAATACATATCGTCTACTTTGTAAAACTAGCTAAAACACAGAGAAAAAAGTATAGTCGATTCACATGCGTATTGGTATCGATGTGTATCGGTAAAAACAATTAATATACTTTTATTACTACTAATTAATACTGATATTGTTAAACTAGCTCTATGGTTTTGTAATAATATTATCCCCTGATTGATTAATAAACTAACAAATACATATTAAAATTTTATTGGGACCTCTCAATGATAGGCAATAAATAACATAATCACACTTATATGCTTTTTTAAAATAATCATGTAAAATGTGTATAAATACACACACAAATCGGCCACACCTCTTCGAACACTCATCATCACTTTGGTCGGCCGCTTTCTTCCTTCTTTCCTTCCTCCTTCCTCATATATGATATATCAATATAACATCCCTCTTAATTCTCCAAGACTCATATAGATCATAAATAAGAATGGTGCAGTACCAAGAACTCGCTCTTCAGAGAAGCTTCAGCTGCGACACAAGAAAGATCAATCCGGCGACTTCCCCTGCGCGTGGTTTACACGGTCGTTCACCGTCCTCTTCGGCTTTGATACCAACCATCCCTGAACACGAACTCTTCCTAGTCCCTTGCCGGAGATGCTCCTCCGTCTCCCTTTCCTCCTCCTCCTCCTCCTCGTCCTCGTCTAGGAATATCGGGAAACTCCAGTTGAAGCTTTCTTCCCTCTTGCGTTCTCTCATCAGCGTCATTAACATCCCCGCATGCAAATTCCTCTCCCTCCCTTCTCCGCCGTCTTCTTCTTCCGGTGTTTCTAACCAACTCATCTCACTCGTCACCGGTGGATCCTCTTCTCTCGGGAGAAGAGTCACCGGGACTCTGTACGGACACAGAAGAGGCCACGTCACGTTTTCCGTCCAGTACGATCCGAGGTCCGACCCGGTCTTGCTTCTTGACCTGGCCATGTCAACGGCAACTCTCGTGAAAGAGATGTCGTCGGGGCTCGTCAGGATCGCTCTGGAGTGCGAGAAGCGTCATCGACCGGGGACAAAGCTCTTCCAAGAGCCCAAATGGACGATGTATTGCAACGGGAGGAAGTGTGGATACGCCGTGTCCCGTGGTGGCGCGTGTACTGACTCGGATTGGCGCGTGCTGAACACGGTCTCTAGGGTTACCGTGGGAGCAGGAGTGATCCCGACGCCGAAGAGTATTGATGACGTGGCCGGTGTTGGAAGTGGAACGGATCTTGGGGAGTTGTTGTATATGAGAGGCAGGTTTGAAAGAGTCGTGGGGAGCCGTGACTCGGAGGCTTTCTACATGATGAACCCTGACAAAAACGGAGGTCCAGAACTCAGTATTTTTCTTCTTAGAATATAAAAATAAAACAAAATGTCTTATCTTTTTTTTAATTTCACAAGAGAATTATTGACTTTCTTAAAATTGAAAATGTCTTTTAAGTGACGTATTACTATATAGTGAACGAATGTAATGTTGTGTCATGAAATATATGTAAGCTATAGTGATATAAAACTATAAAAAAGAAAGAGAGTATCATAGTCTTTTTTTTTTTTTTTTCCCTTCTTCTAATTGTTTGTTTATTTGATGTTTGGAACTTTTTTTTTTTTTGGGTATTATTATAAGGGAAGGAAGGATGTCTCATGTAATTATAAATTAGTTTTTGTGGTTGCTTTTATATGCAAGGCAAGAAGATCCCCACATGGTCCGTCATGATTAATGCCAATTTAAGATTCTTATTGTCTTTAGTTATAATAAACATTTAGTATTTAATTTGAGCAAGTCGAATCGCTTTTTACGTCTAGTGTAACGCGTGGAGCAATTCTGTTTAACAACTACATAATAAATTATCTAGAAAGTGGCCTTGCTTTCGACTTGTAACGTGTAACAATCAAATTCATAACCAAACACCATTTATATTTTAGATTAAAACCCAACATATGATAACCATTAAACTAACGAGTTACACTTGTAGTTGTAGACATATGATAAATTGATAAGTATAAAGTATACATAGTGAAGTATATAACTTTTTGACATATGTAAGCAAGGCCAAAATGGAAGAGTTTTCAAAATATACGTTAAAATGATTAATTTACATAAGAAGTTACAATATCAAATTTTGTTATGTTTTCAATCCTTCTTATGTAAATCTGAGAATTGCAAATTCTTATGTAAAACTCTATAAGTGGAAGTAAAAAAAAAGAAGGTTGAAAACCTAACAAATGAAATTGTGATCAGATCTAAAATATGAGGAGAAAATACAAGGAAATGGGGAATGTAGGGGTGAATAGCGAGAAAAAAGTGGGTGGGAAAGAGCGTAAAACCCCCACAGGGACTTCAGACTTGGCTTTGGTGTGACAAAAGTCTGAAAAAACTTAGCAACAGCCGCAAAGCCAAAAATTGCCTTTTTAGCCTTTTAGGAACTTTCCCCTGCATTCTTTGGACCACAAAATTTGTTTCCTTTCATCTCAAAGGTTAATTTTTGAGTCTATCATCAGTTTCCTAATTCTTGTGTGTTGGATGGCGGTAGAAGTGAAACACCTCAAAAGTTTATACTATTGGGTGATTAACTTTTTCTTCCTTGTTTCAATCATAAATTTCTAAAGTTTTCATCTATTCTCTTTCAAGTTTGATTTAATATTACTTGTGGCGTATTTGCAGACACAAATACTTTTATCTAATAAGTATATCATCCAAATATTCAAACCGGGTTACAATAGCGCACTGCAACAACTTTCTTTCAACCGGGTTGATAGTTGAACCAACCGGCCGGATATATAAGAAAATCATTATTTTGTTCGGTACTTTTTGGTTGATTTACATAAATTATCAAGATTTTGTGAATGGAACTCTTATATTTTTGATTTGATAAATAAATCAGATTTTTTTTTTTTTTTTTCTCTTGGGTTTGCTAAAAGAACTAGTCATTCATTCTAATAATCCCTCTACAACTTAAAGATTTGTTTCTGTTATTAAATCGATATCAATATCAATCAACAATATCATACTTAGCAGTGTGGGCTACGGATAATATAACATAAACATCCATTATACATACGAAATATTAAATGTATAGTTTATTAATCGGATTATAAATACATATCATATACGTATACCGGTATATGCGTCGTAGCTAGATCGAGAAGACCATAGAGAGACAAAAGAAATGTATAAGATATGGTAAAGATTGTCCCATTAGAAAAGAGAGCAGTAAATTATCCACAAAAAGTTGTGTGAAGGAAATGCATGTGCTATAGCTTTCTGAATGAACCAACAAAAATATAAAATAATCAATATTGATATATACTTAAAAAGAAAAACTTATCACAAAAACTCGTACTTACATATAGAGACGGATGGCAAAATTATCGTAAGAGATGTGTCTAGTTTATCAACTCATAGCTAGTGCTAAACCCCGATGATATTACATATAATAATAAGGTGTTGCATTATTGAATAAGCTCTGCATACCTGATTACTGCAGATACAACACATGCCTTGCCTAGTTTGCCTTACCTATTTTAATATTGACGCTTTTCTCCGGGAAAATCTAATCTGCATCGTATAACGTACACAATTCTGTCTTCATAAGTTATTTATGACTAATATGTATGTATAATTCATAGATATTTTGGTTTTTATGATTTTTTTGTTCCATAAATTTAAAAACCAAACAAAATAATGAATTCATATAGATGGAAGTTTACATGTGCCAAAATAATACTGATTCTACAATTTTTGAATGAAAATACAAATTATAATTTATGAATTTTCTTCTAAACCTTTTTTCTTAACTGGTTCTATCATACATCATCGTGTAAAATGTAAATATGTATATGCATATTGGCATTTCTAATTGAATAACCTACGCCGGAACTGTGTACATTATATGATACGAAAGATATTCATGCATTATATTTTATAACAGAGCAATGCGCTTTTATGGTTGGCAAATCTGACATCTCTCTCGTCATAGGCATATGATTTATGATTTAATTAGTGTTAATTTATGTAATCTCCAAGTAGATAACTGATCATCGTTATAGTTAAGTGATCAATAATGGAAAGTTTTATATTATTTTGTATTGAATGCCAGTTTCCTAATATGGATTATCCTTTTCCTAACAACACTGTAACGTGTATACACCTAACAATACAGTATGTAGTTATAGTGGATCCAACGTAAAAGGAGAAGCTATTACGACTAGCTACCTTAATTAGTCTTAATTAGCTCCAATTGGCGATGGTAAATTATGTCCTATTTTTTTTTATTTGTTTTTGGAGATTTAATGTTAACCACCCCAAATTAAAGCTTCTGTAGCATCGATATAGAAAACGCAGAAAAAATATACAAAATATGTAAGTGTTTAACGATGGTCTCATATAGTGCCTCAAGAGTCAAGTCCAACCAACCATATATACCTTTAGGTGATCGTTGAATCTTAGTGGTAACATGCCTTTGGTCACATAGATCAATCATCATATAGATGCCCAACGTGCTCAACACCATATTCTATATTATCTTATATAATCCTTTTCTAGTTCAGTATTCTTTAATTAAAATTTTAAAACGAAAACATGGAATTACGGCTATTTAAGACCATTTTTATTGGGAGTATATTAGGAGTTAAAATACTCCAAATTTTCAAAAAATATTTTTTATATAAAATGTTTTTTTTGAAAATCCTAAAATACCTCTAATGAAGATAGTCTAAGACTGCTATGAGAGACTAAAGACTAATGTGAATATGGCTTCTACGTGATATCAAATAACATTTCTCGAGAACTCGTTCATTCACTATAGTCGTTCTAGCGTGAGTCACACATTTAACGGCGAAATACATTTTTTTTTTATATAATTCAAACGAATCGAGCTATAAATTAGTCTTTGCTAAGAACACCTAATAGAGGTCGACGTGGCTAAGAGATTTACTGTCTAGATGTCGTACTTCGAGACTAAATAAAGTGCAAATCAACATTAAATTAGTTAAATGTCCAATCCAATCCCTAGCTAGTGGTTATATATAATACAGGTTAAGGAAATCAAACACGAGATCTGAAATATCCTACCGTTACCAAACAAACTAATACTTTTTCAGTTTTTTTTCTTGACAAATTGATTAACTCTCTCTCTCTCTCTCTCTATTATTGGTCTTGTAGTAACATATATATTCGTATCACACGTCCACGTATTTGTACCCAGTGATTTATAGTAATACATAAGCAAAAGAAAACATTATCCTAAATTAGGTTCATGGTCAACATTAAAGAAAGGACAACGTAAAAGATATTTTCCATGCATGAGATATTTTCACGAGAATATATTATATACATCCAGCTTTAGAAATTTTATATATATATTTGTTGGATCATAATTAAGCCGACAACAAAAATGTAGTGATTTTTTCAACCCTAATAATACAAGTACACTTATTTAACAAATCATAATGCCTGAAACTTATTGATGGAAGCAAAGATACGATCTTTGTACCATATTACCATCATGTTACCGCAAAAAACAATTATTAGTAGTGTGTTCTTAAAAAGTGCTCATCCAACCAAGATGCAACTTGATGATAATTATGTTAGTTAAACACGTGTATTAACTGTCAAGATAAAAATATCTTCAAGCTGTAGTACAGATATTTTCATCATTTCTCAATTATCAACTAATTAACGTATATTATTTATATATAGTAAAGGTTCTTACATTATTTTGTTAAATATGTTTTGGTACAATTAACATAATTTGAACGTATGATGTACACGTACAATAAGATTAGTGAAGCTATTGTGGTTATAAAATTACATGTGACTACGTCATCAAAAGTGTTTTAAATACATGCATACCAGAAAACGTATTTGCTATGAAAAACTAGCAAGAAGACCCATATAGAGCCCAAATTTTATAACTACATTAGCTTTGGTGTTTAATTTTATAACTACATTAGCTTTGGTGTTTTTTTTTTTTGTTTTTTTTTTTGTGATAAGTAGTTAAAAAATTGTGTTTTTTTCGTTTTATTTATGCAAAAAATTGACAACTTTAAAAGTGAAAAAAGAAATGATTGTTTTACAATGGGAAGTAATTTCAATATTTTTAACAATATTTAATATACTTCTAATATTCTTATATATATATATATTTAATCAAATATTTCTTAAGATATATACTGAAATTCATTATATATATATGTATATATATTTTATTTTTGAGTATTAAAATTAATTTTTCCGGAAATTTTTCATTTTGCAAATTGTATCATGTCATTATGAGATTATATATCAGCCTATATAATACTAGTAATAATAATACTGTAACTTTTTTCTTTCCTTTTTTGTTCTGTTTTCCAATATACATTTGGAAAACCTAAAAAGTAACTGGAAATTTAATAGAAGGGTTGGTTAACCATTCTTCGCTCGAGTCTCTCTGGACGTAACCCTACAAGTTGTGCAATCAGGTTAACATTGACTTTGGGGTTCGTTAGAAATCTCGTTATGGGGAGAGGAAGGCTTAAGGTGAAGTTGAAGGGGAAGGGAAGGATTAGGATGAAGTTGAAGGAGACGAAGAAGGTGAGAGAGCTCTGCGATTTTTGTGGATTCTCCAGCAGCAGCAGCATTTTACGGTAAACTCGCGCGCATGGCTAAATTTATTAGCTTGAAAGGGTTCTATTTCCTAGGGTTTTCTTGTTGACTTAGTTCTTAGCTAGGTGATTGAGATATGGAACCCTGAGTTCCAAACCCTAGCTAGCCATACGCAACATTTTAAACAAAAGGTCTGCTTTCTTCTTCTGTGTCTTTCTAGGTATTATTATGAACAAAGGTCACACGAACCAGATCACAAAGCAGTAATGGTATGTATCTTGTATGGAACATTTGAGATTTCAGTATATCTTATTTATTATTTATTTTTTTGCTCACATATCGCTTTTTCCACACTTTGTTCTCTAGTCTATGGAGAAGGAACTCAAGAGATTACGGCTTGTGACCAGGTCTAGCTCTTTCACATTTCCCATTAATTTCTTGTTTCTGAAAAAACTATATATCTGCTTTTTATTTTTTGTTATTTTCCCTCCCTCTCTTTGCTTTGTGATTCTTCTTTATGAGTAATCCTTTATATTATTCGCAGGAGAATGACGTGTAAGGATCTCGACGGTCTGACTTTCCCCGAGTTGCTATTACTTGAAGGCCATCTAAAGTCTGTTTTGCTCATTGTCAAGGACCAAAAGGTGAGTAAAGAATACTATTGTCTGCGTGTGTGTGTGTGGTGGTCTCTAGTTTATAGGAAAACCAGCCTCTGTTTTTGTAAATTTTGATGTGTTTTTGAGGTACAAAGACTCATGAGTAGATATGTTCTTTAGCATGTTAAAAGTCTTTTTGAATATGGCGGTGGAGCCTTGGATTACTGAGGCTAGTCCAGTCTCTCCTGTTAAATATATGAAGATGTTGTTGTGGTGCTGTGTGACCTGACGTTTTGCTACTTTGTGAATGAAAAACCATTTCATTAAGTTTAAGAAATAAATACATCTTACTTGTTTCTTCTCTTATTTAAAAGTGTTATAAGAATTAATTCTCAAAATACATATTTTTTTCTTGTAACTATTACAGGAGAAGACAAAGCTGAAAGAAGATGAAAGGCTGCTCAAACAGGTAAACGTCACCTGACTTCGCCTACCCTATGAAATTATTGTTTGCGAGCTGCTGTATTATACCCCTCCGGGTCTACAATTTGCGAGGAATATTAGTTTTGTTTCATAAAATATATATAACACGTTCATGTTGATCTTGTAATATGTAATGCAATTGTTTGAAGTTTTCTTACATTCTTTTCTTTTGTTTTGTTTTGTGGAAGAATGACGCAAAGGGTATGGGGAGAGAGGTTTCTGTTCCCTGCAAATCCTCTACAAGCAGGTAGTCTCCTCTTCCTAGCTAAAGAAATAACTTTTTGGTTGGTGTTTGTTTGGTTAGAAGTTTTTAAAACTTGGGGGTTCGTTTGGGGTTAAAAACTAGATATATAGCTATTGCAGGATCTGATTTCATTGCTTTCTTGGCATATTATCTTTTGAGTCCTCCATTCATCCATGCCTTAGAATCTCAGAGAAACCACTTAGGTTCTAAGCTCTAGTTGTCTGGAGCAGAATACCACATTACTGGTTTTTTTTTATCTCTTTGACATTGAACCCACTGTGCAAAACTAAAAGCCTGATCTGGTCTTTGTATACAGCGCGGGAGAGAGACAAGATGATGAAGGAACACCGCTGGTATGCACATCATATTAGTTCACATTCCTGCCTCTTTCCTTGCCCCAACATTGTGTCGTTATAATTGCATATGTTATTACTGCAGTCGCGAATGCAGAGAGAATTCGAGAGACGTAAAAATGAAACCATGCTGATGGAATACGAGAGACTATGGCAATTCAAAGAGTAATGAATCGCTATCCCTCTTGTTGCGAGTCGATGTCAGTACACTTTATTTCTCATGCATGGTTTATTTTTCCTTGAATCTGACAGGAGATTGAATGGTAGAGAGCTCGACGGTATGAATTCTGCCGAGCTGCTCTTACTTGAAATTGAGATACAACTTGGATTGGTGGATTTGCATGATCATAAGTTTGCACCAGCAATGGAAGAAAAGCTCAGAAGATCACGCCAATGATCAACTCCGTCTACGAGACTCTATATATATGGTTTCTCTTTTTCTATTTTAGTTTTGTTTGTTAGTCAAGTCAAGTCTCTCTCTCGCATTTGATTTTAATATGTCAAGTAAGCATCTGACTTAGGGTTTTATATTCCTAGCTACCTCCTCTTTTGCTTCTTCACTTATTCTTTTATCCATTTCTTTTTGGCAAAACGAATGAAAGAGGCCATATATCTGGTTTTCACGTGGTCTTCTAACCTAAAATATTCTTTTGGTTCTACAACAAAGGATTTGATGAACTGTTTCCCCAAGATATACATTGGTTCTTCTATACATGATCTATTTTATAGTTTGAGTAATATTGGAACCATAAGCGATCAGATTCATACATCATAAAACTAGATCTATATAATACACAGAGGGAGACATCTAGATTCTGTCTTAATCAAAAACAAGGTTACAGACATCTTGGCAAAGAGCATCAGCATATTCCACAAGATTGTTTAATTTCACTTTTACAATTATGTTCCTACAGTTATTATTATGTTATGTACTAGGCTACACTGTAAATGTTCTCTGCTAATTTTTTTTTGGAAATTTTACTTTTAAATACACATACATTAGGTGAACCAAAAAATAAAAAAAAAAGGAATTTAAAAAAAAGTTTATGGGTAAATTTTCCTATTTAAAAAAATTGGAAGAAAATTGGACAAAAACCTGCATTTATGTGCAATTTAAAAGGGGTAAGAAAAAAAAAGGTTTCGCTCGATTCGATAGATGGGGAGAGAAGACGTTCAGACGAAGATGAAAAGGAAGCGAAGAGATAAAACGAACAAGACGAGAGTGCCGTGCAATTTCTGCGAATTCTCCAGCAGCAGGTACTTCTCACACAGAAAGACTTGACAAACAAGCTAAGGTTTCGATTTTCTAGGGTTTTATAATTGTTGATTTAGTAGGTCTTTAGGTGATTTGAGATATGCGAACCATGGAAAATATCTGCTTCTTAGGTTTCTTGATTCTCTATTTACTCAGAGAATATACTTAAACCTAAACCCTTGACCTTTTCCAGATATGGATGCAGCTCTGAAGATAAGCTGCAGGAGCACGACAATGAAGCAGTGGTATGTACACACACACACACTCATATGCGGTTACTTGCTTTCTCCTGTCCTCTTTTCAACTAGTACCATCAAATGAATTTCTATCTATCTCTTTGTATGTTCATACCCATACCTATGTTCTTGCTTACCTTCAACTTTCTCTTCCTACAGCTGCGGAAAGAAGTCGAGAGATTACGGTTTTTGATCAAGTATGCCTGCCTGAGTTTCCCAACTTTTCTTGTTCATTTGCCCCTTTTGGTTCATGTGTTATTCTTTTCACAACTCCAGGAGAATGACTGGTAGGGACGAGGGTGTCAGTTTCACCGAGCTGCTAGCTCTTGAAAGTCACCTTAAGGATGTGGGGCGCATTGTGCTGGACAAAGAGGTGAAATATTGACTTTCTTTGCTCTCCTTTTATTGAAGATGTCGTAATTCTCAAGAATCTTTTTTTTTAACTATCTTCTATTGCAGAAGAAGATAAAGCTAGAAGAAGATGAAAGGCTGCACAAACAGGTAAAGATTCTATTTCATAAATTTTTCTGCCTTCTCTTTAACTGTCTTGTATCAGAACTTTGTTTGTGCATCTTTGAGGAGCCTCAGATTTACCCTTTCCAGTCTAAAATCTCTCACAAGGCCCATGCTTTTGGTTCTTTTCTTAAAGTTCCTTGTTGACAGTTTTAAGCTTTCTCACTTTGACATAAATCACAAAGCCTACGGTTTTGCAGAAGAAGGAAGCAGAGCATGGAGCCAATGGTATGAGGAGAGGGGTTTTTTTTCCTTGCAAATTTTCTACCAGCAGGTAACCTCTTTGCTAAAGTACATGACTTCTTTTTGTTGGGTTTGGTTCTAAAAATATGTATCTCGTCATTTTCTTGGCTTATTAGCTACTATACAGTAGGAGTTGAATCCTTCATCTCTCAGAATCTGAGAGAGATCACTAGGGGTTTTTTTAAAGTTGAAGCTGTCTTTTGTGCTGAATATCACGTTATGATGTCTTGCTTTTTGATCATTAAACCATTGTGTAAAAGTGGAGGCTGACTTTTTCTGCATATATGATGGATATCTAATACAGGTTGGGAGAAAGACAGGAGAAACCAAATGGTCTATCACCACTGGTGCGTACGTGTATTCTGTAATGTTCCCATCTCTTTTCTTGCCCCAGTTTGAGTTTTTTTTTTTAAATGCTCTTCTGCTTGCAGCTGAAAATGAAGAGAGAATATGAGAGACGAGTCTCTGAATCCTTGCAGAGCGAGTTCGAGAGATTGTGGCTTTTTAACGAGTAATAACTTGGTTACCATTTCCCACTTTTTGCTCTGCAAAGTCTCTGTTCTTTGTTTTTGTCTCCATTTAATTGTGGGTTTTTTTGTTCTTTTTTTTTGTTTTCATCTCACAGGAGAATGAATGGAAGAGAGCTCGAGGGTATGACATCCTACGAACTTACCTTACTTCACATTCAGATATTACGAGCTACGCAAGGTTTGATGGACCAAGAAGAGAACAAATTGCAAGGCAGGGAAAAGAGGTAAAAAGTTATCACCCATATTATATTATATGTTTTTTGAGTACGTATTATTATATTTCTGAATGGCTTCTTATATTCACACATTTTTCTAGTCTGTTTGGCACACCAACAAGGAATCAGTCTCTAGGTTAGCTGAGCCCAAGAGATGTTCACTGGACAATGAAAAGGGTGCTGACACTTCCCTGCAGTTTAGACTTCTTCTCGTTTCAAGGAAGCTAAGAAGGATCCATAATTGTTATCACCGCAAGAGCATGCCAGAGGCCAGATCGGTCTGCCAGAGTCGAGTGATTTCCGAGTGATCTGGTTTTAGTGGCTACGGGCGTATTAGATTTTAAATTTATTGTCAATGTGAGATGTTGTTTTTTCATCAAAATCTTGATGTAACACATCGTTGATTAGTTTATGATAAACCTTGTCTTTACATTAGTAAGACATTTGATTAGTATGTACTCTTATTATATACGTGTGTGGACAACAACGTCGACAATGTTTATATACTTTATCATTACGTATATAAATGACATGTTGATATGTGTGAAAATAAATAATTGAATATCAGATTTTCATGAATCCAGGGAGTAGGGAGTATTATTTATTCAATTTTAAAATAATAGTAATCAAATAATTTTCGACCGGTTCTAAATCCTACGCTAAAAATACATTAGATTTTTAAACTCATGCTTTCTATTTTACTATTGGATTTCGTAATGGACTTTTAGTGGGCTTTATGGGCCTAAACGAGTATAATGCAGATCCATGAGCATAATGTGTCCTTCTCGACAAAAAAGAGAGAGCATAATATGTCCTCTTCTTCGTTGTCAAATCAATGGAGCTTCTTTTTGTTCTTCATCTTCTTCTTTCATTTCTCTCTTTCGTGTGTTTCGTCTTCAGATACCTGAATTTTCGTTTTCTTCTTCGGTTTCTCAGTTCATCGAGTATATTTTTTCCTGCCACGCTTCAGCAGCTCGGTGTTTTGAGGTAGAGCTCAGGCCTATCAAGCTTCATTTGATTCCGGAAGTGAGGCGAAGATGTACTGAGGTAGAACTAAATTCGGAAACTTTATCATCTATAAGTTTTTAGTTAGTAAATATAAAGGTAGATTAAGTAGAACAAGGAATGTAGTTTTTTTTTAGCAGACGAAGTCACTGAAATGAGAGAAGAAGAAGAAAAGTAATAATAATAATAGAGGAGGAAGCAAGGAGCTACACCTCTACTATTTCATTTTTTTTAGCCAATCAGAGCGCTCTATTTCTCACCCACTCTCACCAAACGCGCGTTGCGCGAGTGTCTACGATTCCTGTGTGCTATAACCCCCAAAATCGCTTCTGGTGAAACAAACTCGCTTCTTTCTAATAAACCCATCGCGTGTGAATTAATTTGTTTTTTTTCCTCAAACCTTATTAATTATAATTTAAACCGAACATAAATCAATTGTAACTCCAAAACCATGTAAACCGAACCGAAATTGTTTGCAAGAGTACGTAAATTCTAGAGATTTTTAGTGTCTGCTGCTATGGTGTTCGGCAGAATATGCCGCTGAGAGATTTTGTTTCTTGGAAAATGATAAAATTCTAGAGATGTTTGTTACAGAGGAAAGGTGGGAATCTCATGGAGCTTCCGTGTGGTTTAACACAGTACAGTGGTTGGGAAGCCACAAGCTGCTCACTCGGAGAAAGACCCAAAGATATCAATGTTCAAGGAAGGAGATGAATGTTTCACAGTTTAAGTTGGAGCTTCAGGCTTTGAAAGCAGTGGAAGGAGAAGAGCCCCCAACTTGAATTCAAGGCTTAAGGGTGTTTGGAGTCATAAGCCTGTGATTAAATGTACACGTCCTCTATCTACTGCCTCTTCTTCAATGTCCAAATATGTTTATGCTTTATGTTCTTGTTATGTATGGAATGATAAAAAACTTGTGACTGTACATGTGTATTTAACTTCTTTCAGACATGCATCATACTAGTTGGCTCATCTTCGTAACATTTTGACTTTAAGGTATTTGAGACATATGTATTATTAGTTCACAAAATTTGGTCCAGTTGGGTGTAGTAGCACTAGTGGATGATGGTTTAGACGTGGGTTGTCAAAACTGTTTTTATACATACATAAAACGTATTTGCTATGAAAAAATTACAATGAGGCCCAAAAGTAATTGAAATAAAGCCCATATTGAGCCCAAATGCTATATCCACATTTGCTTCGGTGTTTTTTTGGGGAAGAGCTGAAAAACCTCAGAAAACCCCTCTATCTCCTTCGAAGCTGTTATTTCCCGGAGAAAATAGTCATGTTGTTAAAGAAGACGGTGAAGAAAGGTTTGATCGGCGGAATGAGCTTCGCTAAAGACGCCGGAAAAGTCAATTGGTTTCCCGGTCATATGGCTGCTGCAACTCGCGCCATCCGCAACCGCCTTAAGCTCTCCGATCTCGTTATCGAAGTTCGCGATGCTCGTGTCCGTAAAATTACCCACACTATTTTTGTTTATTTCGATTCATTGATCATTAACTTGAATTTTCGTTGTCTTTTTTTTTTTTTTTTTTTCTGCAGATTCCTCTGTCATCGGCGAACGAGGATCTACAATCCCAAATGTCAGCTAAGAGACGTATCATAGCTCTAAATAAGAAAGATTTAGCAAACCCTAATGTTCTCAATGTAATTTACTTCGTGGTCCTTTGTGTTTTCTCCTTGTTAGTCACTGTGAGGTCGAGTTGCTGATTTTTTTTTCCTGCAATTTGTAGAAATGGACTCGTCATTTCGAATCCAGCCAGCAAGATTGTATTGCTATTAATGCTCATAGCAGAAGCTCTGTCATGAAGGTTAGAAGACTGATTCTCTTTACATCTATGTTGGTGTGTTAAATCAGTAATAGTTTCGTCACACAGATGATTTGATAGGGACTGTTATTATTCTGCATCGGAAAGTTAACTTCTTTGTATGATTTCATAGCTGCTTGATCTCGTGGAGTTGAAGCTCAAGGAAGTGATTGCTAGGGAGCCTACTTTACTTGTAATGGTGGTTGGTGTCCCCAATGTTGGAAAATCTGCACTCATTAATTCAGTCCATCAAATCGCAGCATCTCGCTTTCCTGGTAATATATTAGCGTCTCAGATCATAGGCAGTATGTAGTAGCATTACGTAAATATGTCTGAAAACTTGAATCCCATTTCTCCAAGCATATAGTTACAAGTTCATTATTGCATGAACACAATGATGAATGAAATGTAACATGACGAATTTCATTATATGCATTATGTGCATAGTGCAGGAGAGATTAAAGAGAGCTACGGTTGGTCCACTGCCTGGTGTAACACAAGATATTGCTGGTTTCAAGGTTATTTATTTTTCTTACTTCTCTTTTTCCATGTGGATTTAGTTCTTCTGCTCTATGCTGAGCAATTCCTGTGGTACAGATTGCTCATCGACCAAGCATATATGTTCTAGACTCCCCTGGTGTGTTGGTCCCAAGTATCCCTGATATTGAAACGGGTTTGAAGCTTGCTCTTTCAGGTTCTTATCTATATCTTTATCTCCCTTCTCTTCTTTCTTCCTGTCTCTTGATAAAGAATATGATACAGTATAGGTGTAAGAACTGAGATTCTAAGAATATGATACAGTTTATACTTGGCACTTAGTTCATCAGAATATGATACAGTTTAGGTCTTACAATTTCAGTTCTTAGTAGTTAGCTACCCCAGGAGTGTATTCACTTACGGCATGTGATCTCCCCAGCTGAATGTTATGTTTTTATAAAATTTCGACATTCAAGGTTCCGTCAAAGATTCAGTAGTGGGAGAAGAGCGGATTGCGCAATACTTCCTAGCCATTCTAAACATTCGAGGGACTCCTCTTCATTGGAAGTACTTAGTTGAGGGAAGAAACGAAGGGTCTCATGCAGACTGCATCGATAAACCAAGCTATAACTTAAAAGATCTTCGACACCAGAGAACCAAACAACCAGATTCATCTGCTATGCACTATGTCGGGGTTAGCATAATAACCTTATATCTCAAGCTCATGTTCCTCCTGAAATTGGCCTAACTAATTGAGGTTTTCTGTCATCTACAGGATATGATTTCAGAAGTGCAACGATCACTGTACACAACGCTCTCCGAATTTGATGGAGACACAGAGGATGAGAATGATTTGGAGTGTTTGATTGAGCAACAGTTTGAAGTTCTGCAAAAGGCATTGAAGATTCCTAACAAAGCATCCGAAGCAAGGTTAATGGTGTCCAAGAAATTTCTCACTTTGTTTAGGACAGGTAGACTTGGTCCTTTCATCCTTGACGATGTCCCTGAAACTGTAACTAACCCGCCCAATTCAAGACGGGTAGTAGTTTTGTAAAACCATAAAGCAAATTGTAACACAATAATGCGTTCAGCTTAATATGATGATTCTTTTTGTTTTCATTTGAGATTCAATGGCGTTGCTGCAGTAACTCCAAAGTATTTGAATGAACAAAATTGAATCATGATAAGATTTGGCATCTGCCAGAAACAATCAAATCTATCTGGTGTCCTCATTTATTGGCCTCAATGAATTCTCGGTACTCTTTCTTCATCTTCACACCCGATATAGTCCTGCATAGACTCGGAATCTTTAGCCAACGCTTAACACAATAATCTTTACAATCCTAAAACTGAAAGAACATTTACCAACCTGAGCATTTCCTTGTTCTTGAAGAACTGCACACACGGAGTTCCCATGATTCCAGCTGCTTCAGCAATTTCTTGATCTTCCTCAATGTCAATCTCAACAAAATGCACATCATTGTGATACTCATCGACCACCTGAAACAATATGAAGGAGAAATGAACAAATGGTCAGTTAAGCAGGCCAGCCAAGATGTCTTCCGATAAGTTTCATTTCGACTACTGAAGGAATACCTTGTTCAAAATAGGCTTCAGAGTTCTACAGGGGCCACATGTTGGTGAAGTGTATAGTACCAATATAACTCTTGGACTCTCATGGTACAATTTTCTAAGAGCATACTGAACACAGGGGAAAAATCGCAAGGAAAAAGATGTGAGGCAGAGAAAATGTTTGTGGATAATACGTTAATGTTCATATCTTGACAAACCTGTCCCTTATGCTTTGTAAGAGTGACGTCAAACTTTTCTTGGACATCGCGTTGTGTAAATTCTTTCTTGGCCTCTTCAGTTTGAGGCTGTCATAAGGTGGAACATGAAAGGGAGTAAGCCTTGTGAAGTGGCATAAGATTTAAGATATTTATAAAAATTTCTACCTGGTGAAATTCAACAAGAAGATTGTTACTTGTGAGGTATCTCTCGGCTGATAAAGCAGCTATGCATCCTGATCCAGCAGCAGTTACAGCTTGTCTCCATTCATGGTCCTAGAGTGACAAATAAGAGAGTAGCTAACACAATTATCGAACCAATATGACTTCACAGAGTTAATACCTACACTTAAAGATGGGTAAAAGTTCCAAAGTATAACCTGCACATCTCCTGCAGCAAATACACCTTCAACTGATGTATTTGATGTTCCTTCCCGAACTAACACGTACCCTGAACTATCGAGTTCGACTTGGCCTTCCAATAATTGACTGTTTGGCGAATGTCCTATTCCATAAAACAATCCTTTTGCCTCCAGCTCGGTTTCTTCACCCGTATCAAGTCTTCTGAGTAGAATGCCAGACATCTGTCCCTTGGTGTTGCTCAATACGTCCACGGTTTCCGTGTTGTAGTGAACTGTGATGTTTGGATTGTTGATCACTCTGAAACATTCGCCATAACCAACCTGTTAAAAAAACACTCAGGGTGTTGAAAAGACTCAACTTACGTTGTGCTCATTAGTCTATAATTCCATAAGCCAACAAAGGGGATAAGCACTATACTGGTTCGTTATCGATTTACTTGAAATGAAAATTATAGCAAAGGCGTTCCCGGAAAAATCCAAAGGAAAGAATTTGCATGAGAAGAGATGGATAAGAGCCAAATACATGCAACAAAGAAGACTCAGTACAGATATACAAAGTTCTGCCTCAGACTATTCTGTTTTGATTTCTTAATTCCCTGAAATTGAATCAGACATACCACTTGTGGAATTTTAATTGTTTTTCATCAGAAGTCAAAGAAGAGAAGTAGAGTATGTATAACCCAGAAGCTATTGAAAATATAAGAACCTGTAAAAACTCACCTATCTTGCATAGCCTTGGAGGCTCTCAACTGGTCTCTGCGAACGAGCAAATGAACATGACGAGCATATTTTGTGAGGTACAAAGCTTCCTCTGTTGCTGTATCTCCTCCTCCAACCACAGCAAGTACTTGTCCCTTAAACAAAGGCGAAGCTCCATCACAGATTGCACAAGCACTTATCCCCCTACTCCAGAATTCCTCCTCTCGAGGAAGCCTCAGCCTCTTTGCTGTAGCTCCAGTGGCATAAATAATACTATGGCACTTGACCTATAAAATCAACCCAAATGGGCAACACCGGATGAGAGCTCAAGCCAAGAAAAACTATACCCACCAGTTCTAAAAGACTATCGAACCTCACAACATTATTAGTAAGAGTATCGGTTTATCAAAAAAATAAAAGCATCTGCACTAGGAAAACTAATAAAATCTCCAATGGTATCAACACTGGGCTCTTCCTTCAATTGGTTACGAAAAAATGGCGTTTGTAGGAGAAGCAGAATAAACCAGCAGGCAGATTGCATTCGGCAAGTGGCTTTATGAAAACAAAGCACATTTATGTACAAAACCAAACCAGCATTCTCCATCTAATTGGAATCGACAAAAAGAGTGATAAACGAAGAAAGATAATCACCTTACGTTCACTACTTTGCACAGTAAAAGGAGCTGTTTTGACACTAAGGGATTCAACATCTTCGGGATACAACTCTGCTCCCCACCGCTCAGCCTGCTTCCTCATTCTACCATTTTAAACACAAACCCACCCAAAAAAAAGAAAAAAAGAAGCATCAGAAACATGATCTCTCTCTAAAGATGCAGCATGAAAGACAACAAACGAATTCAAAATATGTTATTCTCACCTCTCCATTAAATCCGGACCCGTAATCCCGTCTGGGAATCCCGGAAAATTCTCAACTTCAGTGGTTGTCATCAATTGTCCACCGGGAACTCCGCCCATCTGATATCCTTCGAATACCACCGGCTTCAAATTGGCGCGCGCGGCGTATATCGCAGCCGTATAACCGGCAGGACCGGAGCCTATAATCACTACATTCTCGATAATCTCGCCTGCAATTACAGAACCAACACAGAGCGAGCTCGATTACTGGTATAAGCTCTAGCAACACTGCCAAAACCTTGAGAAACAAGCAAAGAGTAAAGTCCCCAAAGTACCTGAAGAAGAAGGCGAATTGGTGGCGGAGACTCTGAGGCGGAGGGAATCGGAGGAGCGAGTTCGGTTTGGTTGTTGACGGAGGAGGAAGGAGCTGCCGCGACGTGTAGTACTAGTAGCAGTAGTAGTGAGGAAGAAGAGATGGGGCGGAGGAGAGAGAGCGGATGATGCGGCGGAGACACGGTGAGTCGATGACACGGAGGCAATTCCGATGCCTATCTTGGGAGACGCAGCCATGTTTTTTTTTTTCTCTGGCCTCACCTTACCTTACCAGAGACCATACAATTGTCTTTGCAGTTAAAAAAAAAAAGACCAATGTCTGTTGGCGACTGTGCCTCACGCGCCTCAGCATTATCTCTTCGCTCTCTTAGTCCACAGGCTTAGATGATATCGAGCCGTTGGATTTTAAGTGATCAAACGTATGAACGGTGAAGATGTGTGTTGACTGATTTTAGTCCCGGCTATTCAACGGAGGGATAAGCCAATTGCAAAAGTTTTGAAGTGGGGGAAGCTGGCACTTCAAGGCCTTTTTCTATTGGGCTATATGAATGGGCTGGATTGGGTCTTAACTCTCAAATATTGTGTTTATAATAAACTTGTTAATTCAATCTCTCGAATGCAACACACAGAAAAACAATCTCGAGTGGTGGAATCCGGTGAACATTTTCTCTTTTAGAATAAAAAAAAACATAATTCAACAACAATTAACATTCGCTTTCTTTGTCACTCAAACAACAACATTCGTAAGTGTATACCTTAGGTTAGAACTTAGGAAGGACTAAAATTGAAGGCTATATATACTTTACGTAAGTAGTTCAATGTGAATATAGGTTGAAGCGAAAATCAAAGAAAGAGTTGGTGAGGGAAGTGACAAACTGGTTTGTTATTAGTCAAGAAAGTTTAAGCTGACCAAAAAGAGCAGCCACACACTATGAAACTGAAAGCAACGCAAAGAAGACCAAAGAGCCTTTATCTCTCTTTTATTCTTTAGTCTCAGACTAATTACTAGTGTCTAAGTTCCATGCATTTACAAATGTTTTTGTAGTCAACAATTGTACTTTTCATTTGATGTTGTCGTATGTAATTTTGTTTTGACGCCATGCACGCCACTAAACGTTATTTACTTACCTTATTGTTAAAAAGGAAAGAAAGAGAGAGGCAGCGTCCGTTCCTAGCCCTACGTACTTGTCATCCAAATTCGATGGTTTGCTATTTGAAGTTTGTAAGATTTGTGTTTATCTTAATTACCTGTTCTTGACTATAATAATTCACCCTTTTTAAAAAATGTAATATTTATTAGTAAAATTCGGATTCGACATTCAACAAGGACGCTAAAGTCTTGAATTTGATCCCTAGAAAGAGATTATACATATATCTAAGAAGTAGTATATGGTGGAGTTCTGTGATCCCCTTATGGTTGCATTGGTACGTAACATACAAACCATTTCTTCAGGACATATATGAATCCGCACTTATGTTTTACTGAACGATGTGTTAATGCGGAACGAAATCATCAAGTGTAGGATACTTATAATTTAGTTCTCTCTTTGCTGAAGGCGCGTGGATGGTACGCGCCGTCGAAGGAACATTGTCGGTTATCCCATTAGCAAAACACCAATATAACAAAGAAAAAGGTGATGATTCCTTCATTTTCTTTCATTATTTTGACTAACATAAACTTTGATTATGTCATGGACAAACACTTCAAGAGATTTAGCTTTGGAAACTTTATCCAATTGAAACTTCGAAATATTATTTTTAATTTGGATTTTTCTTCTATAGTTTTACCTTCTTTTACGATACGTAAACTTAATTATATGATTCAAATTTGATTGCGATGAATGTTTTTTACTTTTTTTTTCATTCAGATCTGGTGAGCCCCCATCTTACTTTTTTTTCTTTTCTTCTGATACTAGGAATGCACTGATTTTTTATACTAATATAAGTTAAATAAGGTGTCAAAAAGCTAACATAACTAAGCATGAAAAGTCAAAAAGATAGAGTCATCAATTTTGAAAAAATGAACAATGTGCATGCTCCTACAAAAAAAAAACAAATTATGCTAATTATAATGGAGCAAAGCCATAATTATTTCTTAATAAGTTATACCAAATTTCCTATCACTTAAAAAAATACCATTAAAAAGGATTTGCTTAATAATATATAACTTCTGCTATATGGGAGTTTACATCTAAGAAATTGTATTTTAAGAGAAAAAAGTTTGTTCATAAATATGATATTTTTGCAATGGACGTCTATAGTTATATATTCAAGAAATTTGCTTAATTTTATTTTTCTTTTTATGATTGGTAATTGATTGATCATGAGAACAAACACAATCCTACAAATATGGGTAAGCGTAATGAATAATATGCATGATTTGCGTTCATTGTTTTTGTAAATTGATAGTACCACCACACCTAAAAGGGGTCCAAAACTTGTTGCTTCATATCACAATATCCAATTTTACCAACATGCATAAATATATATATATTCACACAAATAACTCGTGAGTTTATCATTGTTTCCTATATGTACATCTAATCAAACATATATATACGTTTCTACTAAAAATATATTGACAATATATATATAGTTCGGTTGGTAAATGCAACGACTAATGCAGTTTCATTTAATTTGTGTATAATATTTTTTCTCCAATATTATACACAAATTAAATGAAAATTAATGTGGTTAATTAGCTAAACTTGTTAAGCGTTAAGTTTGAAAAAAAAGAGAGTTAAATATCATCAAACACCGATTTTCTTTTAATTAAAAATATATAAGAATATACAACACAATTTGTGTGCGTGTATATGAATCATAGAGTACGTATATGCATGTTTGGAAGCGTATGTTCCTTGAAAAAGGTTCAAAGTATATATATTCTTGTCTCAACCACCTTATTAAAATTTAAGTAACGTCTCTATCTCTTTCTATGGAGTCGTGTTACGTCTTTCTAGTTTGATCAGATCAGCTTCTACTATTTATTTCTCTTCAAGAATATATTATACTTCTCGTTTATGGAAGATGCTGGTGATCATTTACGTTGTAACGACGAGGAGCGTTTGCCGTTGGCGTTTATGGTCGGGACTTCAACATCCACGGCGGAGCTACAGCCACCACCACCGTTCTTGGTAAAGACCTATAAAGTGGTGGAGGATCCGACAACTGACGAGGTTATATCTTGGAACGAAGACGGAACTGGCTTCGTTGTGTGGCAGCCTGCGGAGTTCGCTAGAGATCTGTTACCGACACTTTTCAAGCATTGTAACTTCTCTAGCTTCGTTCGCCAGCTCAATACTTACGTACGTATGCTCACCACTGTTTCAATTAAGTAGGGAAAAATATTTGTGTTTGTTTGAGTTTACTAGTCCTAAAATATTTTCTTGGGTAATTGATCCATGAACATTTATTAACTTAGGTGAATGACTATACCTTTTTCTTTTCTCTGCTATATATAAAACACATGTCTAGATAACATGTTTTTTTTTTTACCTATATTGAAGACCATAGTATTTCTTTACTCAACATGCTATTTAGTAAAATAAATACTAACATATTTTCAAGAAATAACACTTGCATATGGGTCTGTACGTGGATTTGCTTGATAATTAATGAGTGTGGTTACAAAAACATTGTAGGGGTTTAGAAAAGTAACGACGATAAGATGGGAATTTTGTAATGAGATGTTTCAAAAGGGGAAAAGAGAGCTTATGAGCAATATCCGAAGAAGGAAGAGCCAACATTGGTCAAACAACAAGTCTCATCATCAGGTTGTACCAACAACGTCGACGGTGAAGCAAGAAGATCATCAACGGCTTGGGATTGATCATCACCATGAGGATCAACGGTCTTGCTCCACTTCCTCCTCTTGTGTATACACTGCGTTACTCGACGAGAACAAGTGCTTGAAGCATGAAAACGAGTTATTAAGCTCCGAACTCGGGGAAACCAAGAATAAATGCAAGCAGCTTATGGAGCTGGTGGAGAAATATAGAGGAGAAGACGAAGATGAAACCGATGAAAATGATGATGAAGATGATGATGGGCTTAAGTTGTTCGGAGTAAAACTTGAATGAAACAAAATCGCTAGATGAAACCAGTTTCTTCAGATTGTTTTCAAGTTTTGCATCAATATAGTACTCTTTTATGACAATGAAGATCAGGATTACATATGTCCGAAAAATCTCGGGTTCTGATTGTGTTGTATTTGATTAAGCTTCGTGTTCAAAACATGGTATCGTGTGTATAGGTAGACAGACATAAACTAAGAGCACAGTTTCTCGTATACTTTAATGCGAGTTAGTTAGGTAGCCCAAATGCCCTAACTTCTTATACACTGCCAGCCTAATTCCTACTTTAGAGAGAATCCTTATTTAGGTTAATCTATTTTTTGTTTTTGGGCTCATTGGCAGGTTCTTGGAGATAAATCTATCATGGGAAGAGAATAAATGCATTAATTTGACTATGTTGTTTGTCCGGTACTGATTTCTCCTTCTAACTATCATCTAACAATGTGTGGTACATACGATTCATCATTTGACAACCTTGGTCTGGTAATAATCTAATATATACCGGATCAATCATTACATATTCGAGTTTAAATATCAATCCAACAATGTCAATGTGTGGGGGTGGGTCGTAAGCTTCAATTTTCCGTATAAGAAAGCTACCTAAACTTTCTTACTATGTTTGAACTTAATACGTTAATAGTCATCAAAATTGGTTTGAGATCTTCCTAGCACTACCACTTATACCCTTTTAATAATGATGATCCACTTCTTTTTCAGATACTTACAATTGTGCATAATACGTACTTAAATCATTTAAGACATGCAAGATTAAAACATATCCGAGAAAATCTCGTTGTATATTGATAACGTTTCATGTTCAAAATATGAAACATCGTTTACGTATAGACAGACATTAGGCGCACAGTTTTCTCATGTATATTTACAACCATGTTCGGTAAATGAGATAATGATTTTGATTAGATATCTCTTTGGGCTGTGGCTACAGAAGCCGCATTAATGGTATCACAGTATCACTGGTTATGAGTTAGCTGCAAAATGGTTGAATATGGTCTCAAGTGTGGACTGACTTATACTGTATTCAGCTATTCCCAACTGATTCCTGCCATAGAAAGAAGCAAATTTCTTTCCTCAGACGAACAAAGGCTTATTTGTGCGGATCATGGATTGGAAGCAGTTAAAAGAAGAATGTCTTACCTGTTTGTTTCAAGGTGTCCAAAAGCATCCGCAAGTGACAGTCCTCCTTCTCCAAATGGCAACTGCAACATAACCCATAGACAAACATTGAGCACAAATTCAAGAGCAATCCTAGAGCCAATGGATTTAGTATTTTACCTGGTACTTAATACTCAGTCCATTGCAGCTTTTGAATGTTGCACCAGGAAATGAAGATTGTATGAAAGAATCCAACGCTGAAAACTTTTCTTTGGTTAGCCACCACTCCGCAAATATTTGAAGTGGAATGCCACCTGTTCAGCATCAAACAGAGAAAATATATTTTATGCTTCAAGTCGTGAAAGAAGGCAAAATCTAAAAATGTATGTGACATGTGTGCTCGTACCATCTCGAAACAGTTGTTCTGATAACTGGTCATCGAATCTCACATGTTCCTCAGGCATGGGAGGTACGAGAGTACTCACTCTCTGTTCATTACCAAGAAACTTGGCAACGCTTTGTACCATTTCTGGAGACAAACTGATTTCTGATGCTGAAGCCGTTTCAGGAGTAATAGAGTCAGCGACACCTATACAAACTTCGAGATCACCCAGTAAACTTCTAGGCTGCGGAGGAACGTTAAACAGCCACTGCTGGATCATTTGGCAAAATGTCTCCAATTCGGCATTGCTGACTTCGTTGGGTTTGACCTAATTTGTAAGACAGCCAACATCATGCACAAGCTTTAAAAAATGATCCTTCCTACCATTGAAACAAAACACCATTGTAAAAACTAAAAAGTACCTCTAACTCAAGGTGGTTTCCGTAGCGTGTCTTTAAGTGTTGTGGACTACCTATGCATCTTAGGCGGCCTCCTACCTGTAATTTGAGGAGTATGGTTCTGTAAGGTGGAAAGATTTAAAACACTAACGACCAAAGGAGTTCAAAAGGAGTTTAAAAAATACCATGATCCCGATCCTAGTGCAAAGTGCCTGAGCTTCATTCATGCTATGAGTAGTCAGAATGACAGCTGTCTTTCCACTCCTTGTCGACAAGCGGGATATCACATCCCACATGAATCTTTTGGCAACAGGATCCATACCTGAAGCATTTAAAAAAAACACTAAGTAAGAACTTGAGAAGTTAAGAACTAGTGTAAAACAGAGAGGAAGTCCTCGTTACTGATTCCAAAGTCAAACTGGTCAGGCAAGTCAACCAAAATTTTATTTGGTTATACCTGTAGATGGTTCATCGAGGATGACAATAGGAGGATCTCCAATCATTGCAATAGCAACGGATAGTTTGCGCTTGTTTCCGCCACTAAGCGTGAACGATGGCTTGTGAGAATGTTTCAACAAGTCAAACTCGACTAATTTCTCCATAACCACCTGTTTATTAGATAATACATATCAGAATTACCCAATTAGGAACTTACACTAGTTAGATATATACCTAATAGTATAGTTTTGATTTGGATATATTTTTTAAAATTATCCTAGACGGTAGAGAAAGATGAATTTGTTCCAATGTTGTGTAGGTATTTAACTTAGACAAAACTTATAATACTATTGGGGAATCACAGAACTCATCAAGGCGTGTAAGCAAGCATCAAACGTCAAATCTGAATAGATACTACTTACATTGTCAATTCGATGATCAACTACTCCTTTGATCCTTGCATATAGTTCAAGGTGCTCCTTCACAGTCAAATACTCGAATAAAGCATCGAACTGGGGGCAGTAGCCAATCTGAGTAGGAGAGACAAAAGAGTTTTAAAACATTCAATGTTCATTCTACGGACTCAGTGGGATTGGTAAAGTCAATGAATTGACATACATGCTGACGGATAGATCTGGGACTCGCTACTATGTCTTTGCCAAAGACGAAGGCAGTCCCACTAGTTGGGGTTTCTTCTCCTGTAGCACCCAAACAAAGTGTTGCAGTTGTTTATTTGCTGTCCCTAAGTAATTAAGATAACAGCTCCGCCAAATACCAAGGAATCACAACATACCAGACAACATAGACAAGGTAGTAGTCTTCCCAGCTCCATTCGTCCCTAAAAAGCCAAAACATTCTCCTGCTTGGACCGAGAAAGTCAAAGACTGTACAGCTACTTTTGGGGTCTGATGTTTGCCACCAGGATAAACCTGAAACAGTAGTACTTTAAGAAAAGAGAGAGGAGAATCTCTGTTAACGCTTGGCTAAAACGAGTAGGCTTCTATACCTTCCTAAGGTTCTGTAAGTAGAGCATGGTGTTGTCTGTCAACCCCGACATTACCCTGTCTCTTTCCTCTTGCACGTCTATGTCATCCTCCATATCAGCGGAAACGGCTCCAGTCGAATCCTTGAGAAGTGGCTCTGTAGAACAAGAACCAGCACCTTGCTTGAAAGCTTTGAAATTCTGCCACCACTCCCCAATTGAGAACGAGATCACCTTTTGGACAGGCATCAGCTCAAGCACAAGCGTCACAAGGAAGTAGAATATACTCTGTGAAATATAATTACAGTCATACTTCATGCCGCTATAATATATATTAACTATAATTTTGTGTCTATTCCATGAAAAAAATAACAACAGTAGCATATAAGTAACAACAATATTCCACCTTTTAAATTCACAAATATGAAATCATGGCACATGAATGATGGATCCATTTCCCAGGTTTTCACAGAAGTAGGGAAAAAAAAGGTTAAAGAACATGGAAGACTCTAACCTCCAAACCCAGGTAACAGATGGACGCTCCAGTGACATTCCATTCGAACACCCCATGACTAGATTTGTCTTTCATTCCCTGCCTTAGAAGAGCTAATGAAGCCAATCCATCAGAGAAACAAAATCCTGGTGATAATCTGAAGAAGTTCTGTAGAAGCATAACAAAAAAGAATCAGTTCCTAGTCTTTTCAAGGCTCACTGACATCAAGATATCAGAAAATTCCACACCTTTAGATATAAATTTGCACTAGCAGTTGCTGGAATAAGGCCCATAACAAATGAGATAACCATAAGGATAAGACCAGAGAAGAAGTGGACCATAAGAATAACATTCTGCGATTACAACGAAGGCATATATCCATCAGTGAAAAATCTAACAGTATGAAGTAACTGAGGAAAGAGAAAAAACAATTAACAATATGCGTAAGAGCACAGAGTAGCTAGAAGTTGCCTGAGCCATGCTATGCTCGGTGAAGAAAAATGTAAGACAGTACGTTGATGATGCAATTGCCAAGCCATACTCCAGGAGCATAAGGATAGTAGGAAGAAACCGACCTATCCCGATAAACTGTTCCAGACCTAAGGAAAGAAATCAATCATTTCAGTAAAGGTAATAGCAAAGTACAGTGAAATAGGAGTTCAAATGCAAATGGAAGTTAAAAACCAACTTACCAAAAGCATAAAAGAGGATCATTGCAAATGTTGACGGAAATAAGAAACTGATGAAATCCCATAGGTATGTTGATAACCAGTATGAAAGAACAGAAACCTGCAAGCCATAAATGATCATGAGGCCAATTTTACAGAATTAAAAGTAAGAGCCTGGGACTGATTCCATGCTTATATTTGGTATTCCAGAGAAAGTTTTACCCCACTAATAAGCTGTTGATGCTTTGCTTTCACCTCCCGCTCCTGAATAAAATAAATAATTATAGAGATATTCAGAACAAAATACTAGAAAAAGTAGCACTAAACAAAAACCTTATGCCAAAACTACTTGAGGTTTGACCTTACATACATACCTTAACAATGGGAACAGCAAAAGAGGCCGGGATGAATGAGAACGCAATGTTAACAATAATTGCAGCGGAAAAGGCATCCAAATCCTGCATTGAAAAGAAAATAAGATCAAAACTACTGGTATCGTGACATTTTGTTGATAAGAAGAAAACAATTTTTGAGAGGAGACAGGGAGTCAGGGACAGTAGAATCTGATAATTTGTGTCCGAAGAAAAATAAGGTAGAACCCTGTCACTTTTTGAGACAGACTTTTACATTGGTTCCCTTTTACCGACGATCAGTTTGAGGATCCCATCAACTCTAAATTAGCTCAAAATGAACATAATTTCA